GCAACAATGAATGAATGGAATCCCAAAATCTCTGTAGATGTTCATTGAAATGAAAAATAAACAACCTAAATTAAAAAAAAAAAGCTAAAGTCCTCACCATGGCCTACAAGGTCCTGTAGGATCCATCCCTTTCATCTCTGTGACTTCACCTCTCATCTCTCCTTTTTACTTGCGTAGAATGTTCTTCCCTTACTTTCCCACATGGCTCACTCACACTTTTTTCAGATCTTTGCTTCAAACTCACTTATCACTAAGGCCTTCCCTGGCCACTCTACCTAATAAAGTTGCAAACCTCTCACCTTTTATACACATACACACACGCACACTGTTTCCTTTCCCTGGTTTCCTTGTTTTTCCTGACACTAATTACAGTCCAAAATACCATAAATTTAAACTACTATTTTATGTTATTATGTCTTATTCCATAAAAAAAATTAAGCCCCATGAAGATAAGGTTTTTATTCACTGGTAGCATTCATAACACTGCTATGCACAGACCAAGTATTCAGTAAGTATTTGCTAAATAATGAATGAAACTTCAATAAGACCAGGGGAATAATTGCATTCTATCATTCATCCACAAGGTTCCAAATTTTGTGGCCTCCCTCCAATCTAAGGAGGACTCAACGTGAGTCAGTTCCTACCCAGGCATGGCCATATTATGAACCTCCTATTAAGTTCTTCCCAAATGCTGCAAAGGGCTGCTTACCTGAAGTGTCATCTGTGGCCATGGACGGAGAGGGGTGGGGGCCACCAAGGGACCTAATGACTCCTGAACGTCCAAATATTCTGCTGGTAATAAAAAAGGGCAGTATTAGAAAAAGACAAACATACAAGCAGGCCTTATTTCGTTTGGGGTTTAAAAAATATCTATATATGCTGTTCTAGCCAATTCAGAACCATTTTCCCCTCTAAAGTCTTCTGTGACACTCTGAAGCAGACTGTCACTTACTTTGTAGAAAGAGAAAAAAAGAAAGGAAGAAAGAAATGTAAATATGAGCTAAAACTTAAAAAATTAACTGCTTACCCACAGCAGGGACATTATTATCCATGCTCGTCATTCTCAGTTCTTCCTCATGAGGCCTGTGGGGCAGAGGGGAGAGTGCTTGGATCTGACATCCAAAAAGGTCAAGTCTTCTTCCACCCACTAGCACCATCTGAATCTTTGGCATGAGCCTCGTCTTTCTCTGAAAGCCACTGTTTTTTACTGTCTCTTTTTTATCCCCTAATTATAAAAGTTGTACATACACTGTAGAAAAAAAAACATAAAAAGAAAGCATAAAAAAGCGAGGGGAGCTTTTCACAAGATGTGTCTCTTCTTCTGAGATGTGGCTCTTCTCACGAGATAAGGTTCTTCTCAGAAAACGCAGCTCCTCTCGTAAGATGTAAGATATGCTTCATTGGGGACCTTACTATCACTCTGCTGCAAGATTCCAAGGCCTGTGTGGCATGGCCTGCCCAGCAGTGTCTTCCTGCCACCATTTCCTCAGTATCTGCTAAAGGCTGTGGCCAACCTAGGCACACCTGTCCAGCAAAAGAACCACTGCCTGCCAAGTTGAGGGGCTGTGGGTTCACTGCCCAGCTGCTGCCCACACTGACCAGTGCCAGGAGCAACAATATCACAGGTACTTTGGGAGGGAAACTAGCTAGACCATGAAGGACCCCTTAAGCTCAAGCAGAAGGAGTCAGGACAGCTTGAGATGGACTGAGATGCCATTCCTGGCAGGGAACAACAGGCTTGCTGGTTTCCCATTAAGGTACTTTGGGGAAAACATTGCTGTCTAGCTACACCACTTGGGGTTCCTTAAGCCTTGGACCAAGAAGGGAACACAAATATACAGGTCCTTCACAAAACATTGCCATACTCAAGGTCACTATATAGTAACAACAACTAAGAAAAGACTCCTATAATGTCAAGAAAGCAGCAGTGTGCCTCAATCATCATGAAGAAGCAAAGTAACCCATCTCCTAAAAGAGCACACCCAAAGATTACCCTAGACAGAGAGAACTAGAAGAGTTATTTGAACAGCTACAGAAGAAGATGTAAATTATGGAAGAAACAATGGAGGGCATTAAGAAAGCAACAATCCAGAAGAAATATATTAATGAGAAACAACTTGAACAGCTATGAAAGAAAATGTAAAAGAGGGAAGAAAGAACTTAAAGAGGTCCAAAAACTTAAAAAATCAGCACAAGACAGAGGGTACAGCCAACACAGACTAAAAATAACAGAAAATCATTAAAATGCAATCTGGAATATTAAGACAGAAATGGCAGAAGTATCCAACACTCTGGTAGGACAAAAATGCAGAACTGAAGAGATGGAAGAGAAAATCAGTGAGCTGGAAGACAAGAGCCTCACTAGAAATATACTAGGAGAAAAATAAGAGAAGAGATGTAAAGAAAATGAAAAAGTTATTAGAATCATATGAGATGACATCAAAAGGAACAACATATGTATGACTGGAATTCCAAAACATAAGAGTGACAAAGAAATCACTGAGAAAATTGTGGAAGAAGTACTAGAAGAAAACTTCCCAGGTATTTTGAAGAACGAGGAAGTCCACATTCAAGAAGCACAGTAAACACCAAATAGACTAGACGCAAAAAGAAAAACATCAAGAAATATCATAATCAAATTATCTTAATTAAAAGATAAGGATAGAATTCTAAAAGCAACATGAGAAAAGCAATGCTTTACCTACAAGGGAGAAACATTTAGATTACATTCTGATTTCTCAGGAGAAATCATAAGCTAGAAGACAATGGAATGGCATATGCAGAAAGGATCCTATATCCAGCAAAGCTCTTCATCAAATATGAAGGAGAAATTAGATCCTTTTCAGAAAAGAAGGAACTTAATGAATTTGTGAAAACAAGAAATTTTAAGTGAAGTCCTTCAAATGGAGTCATCAAAGGAAAGTAGATAGACCATAGTAACCAGAAATAACAGAAAAAGAAACACAGCAAAATGTCAATGGTAAAATCTGGTCTAACAATAATCACATTTAATGTGAATGGACTAAACGTGTCAATAAAAAGAGTACCAGAATAAATTAAAAAAATGAAGCCCATCAATATATTGCCTACAAGAGACACACCTGAAAAAAAAAGATGAGGAAGACAGATTCAAAATCAAAGGCTGGAAAAAAATATACCAAGCAAATGGCAACATCAAAAAAGCAGGAATGGCAACATTAATCTCAGATAAAATAGACTTCAGGATGAAAACCACCATGAAAGATAAGGAAGGTCATTACATACTGATTCAAGGCACAATAGATCAAGAAGACATAACCTTGGCCAACATTTGTGCACCAAATTATAGAGCTGCAAAATACATAAAACAATGATTAAGAGAACTGAAGAAATAAATAGACAGCACCACAATAGTGGTAGGAGACTTCATCATCTCACTATCACCAAAGGGTAGGTCCACCCACAATAAACTTAACAAAGACGCAGAAGATCTAAACTAGACAATCAGTCAACTCAACTTTGTGGGTGTATTCAGGGTACTGCATCCAACTAAAACAATTCACTTTCTTCTCAAGTGCACATGGTACATCCTCCAGAAGCAATCACATAATAAGGCACAAAACAAGTCTAAACAAATTCAAAAACACTGAAATAATACAAAGTATCTTCTCAGACCACAATCTCACAAAACTAGAAATTAACCACAGAAGAATAAAGCTTACAAAACCCCCATGTGGAAACAGAGTAACTCTGCTAGAACATTATTGGGTTATAAAGGAACTAAAGAATTAAATGAAAAGGTTCCTTGAAACCAACTAAAATGAAAATACAACATACCAAAGCATCTGAGACACAGCTAAGGCAACCCTCAGAGGGTAGTTCATAGCAATAGACACACACATAAAAAAGGAAGAAAGAAGAAAAATCAATGATCTAACTCAACACTTTCATCAAATAGAAAAAGAACAACAATCTATCCTTACAACCTCTAGAAGAAAAAAAAACTATAAGGACAAGAGCAGAAATCAATGAGATAGGAAACAGAAAAATAATTGAAACCATCAAAAAGACCAGAATCTGGTTTTTTTTAAAGGATCAATAAAATTGAAAAACCACTGGCAAACTTAACAAAAGGGAAAAAAAGAGAAGACAGACATAACTCAGTTAAGAACTGATAGAGGTGACATCACAACAGAAACAGATAAAATTAAATCCACAATATCAGAATACTATGAAAACCTATACATGGATAAATTTTTAAAATCTAGAGGAAATGGATAAATTTCTTGAAACTCATGTCCTACCCAAATTGACAAAGACATATACAGAACACTTGAAATGACTCATCACAAAATAAATAAATAGATTGATTAATTAATTAATTAATTATGCAAAGGCATTTGACTGTGTGGATCATAACAAACTGTGGCTGACTCTGAGAAGAATGGAAATCCCTGAACATTTAATTGTGCTAATGCGAAACCTATACTTGGACCAAGAGGCAGTAGTCAGAACAGAGCAGGGTAACACTGCATGGTTCAAAATTGGGAAGGGTGTACGCCAGGGATGCATCCTGTCTCCATACCTTTTCAACATGTATGCAGAGCAGATTATCCGAGAGGCTGGGCTCTATGAGGAGAATTGTGGCATCAGGATTGGTGGAAGATCTATTAACAATCTGCGTTATGCAGATGACACAACCCTGCTTGCTGAAACTGAGGAGGACCTCATGCACTTGCTGCGAAGGGTCAAGGACTGCAGCCTTCAGTATGGATGGAGGCTCAATGCCAAGAAGACAAAGATTCTCACCACTGGACCAATTGGCAGCATCAGGATGGATGGCGAAGAGATTAAGATTGTTCACAGCTTCCGTTTGCTCGGCTCCACAGTCAACACTTTTGGCACCAGCAGTCAGGAAATCAAAAAGCATATTGCGATGGGAAAGTCTGCTGTTAGGGACCTCTCTAAAGTACTCAGGAGCAACGGTGTCTCTCTGGAGACTAAGGTGCGCCTGATACAGGCCATGGTATTTGCAATCGCTTGTTATGCATCAGAGAGTTGGACAATGACTAGGGAGGACAGAAGGAGAGTGGATGCTTTTGAGCTGTGGTGCTGGAGAAGAGTACTGAATGTACCATGGACTGCCAGGAAAACAAACAGATTCATCTTGGAGAGGACTAAACCAAGCTACTCCTTGGAGGCAAGGATTCTGGGGCTTCGTCTGACATACTTTGGACATGTTGCCAGGAGGGACGGGTCCTTGGAGAGGGACATCATGCTTGGGAGGGTGGAGGGACAGCGCAGGAGGGGAAGACCCTCTATGAGATGAGATGGATTGATTCGGTGACTGGGGTAATCGGGATGGGTGTGTCAGAGGCAGTGCGGTTGGCGCAGGATAGAGCAGGGTTTAGGGCTGTTGTGCATAGGGTCGCTATGAGTTGAAAACGACTCGGCGGCACATAACAACAACAACAACAACAATTAATTAAACAGGTTATAAAAAGACTTCCCATAAGAAAAGTCCTGGGCCAGATGGCTTCACAACTGAATTCTACAAAACATTCTGAGAAGATCTATCACCAATTCTAATTAAGCTATTTTTAAAATTTAAAAAGAAAGGATTTTCCCAGAGTCATTCTATGAAGCAAGCATAACCCTAATACCAAAACCAGGCAAAGATATTACAAAAAAAAGAAAACTACAAACAGATATTTCTCATGACTATAGATTAAAAGATCCTTAACAAAATCCTAGCCAATAGACAAAAAATAGGCCAAAAGAACATAAAAAAATCATCATGACTAAGTGGGATTCATAATAGATATATAAGAATGGTTCAACACAGCAAGCAACAAATGCTGGCGAGGTTATAGAGAAACTGGAACCCTTATTCACTGCTGGTGGAAGTCTAAAACGGTGCAACCACTGTGGAAGGCGGTATGGCGCTTTCTCAAAAAGTTGTAAATAGAGACACCATTTGACCCAGCAATTCCACTACTGGGAATATACCCCAAGACCATAAATGCCACCCAAGCAGATATATGCACACCCATGTTTATCGCGGCTTTGTTCACAATAGCAAGGAGTTGGAAACAACCTAAGTG